ACCCACTTCCACTTTAGATTGCTATTGTGTCCCTGTAACAAACTTCCATTGTTTCTTTTTTTGTAGCTTTTTTTTTATTGCCTCATCTGTCTTAGGAGCCCCCTCATTTTTTGTCATTTCCTGACTTTACTACCTACTAATAAGTTGTAAGAAATGTAAATTGAACTGTTTCTAAACAAACATCAATCATTTTTAATGTGTTTAATAGAAGTTATAATGAATTAAAATCAGAGTTTTATTTGTTATTGAAGTCCTAATATTCTACACTGGTGAACTTCTAAATTAATGAGCCAGTAAATCATTTGTGGTGCTAAAGAGATCAAATAAATAAAAACAGGATTGACCTTGTTAGAAATTTAATATTTTCAGCATTTCTCTATCAGAGTCACTGATTTAGAAATCGTTGTAACTTCTTGAAAAGTGTAAACTTTTTTCTTTGTAAAAATTCCCATCATTTTGGAAACTGCTGTATCATTTTCCTTGAAAAGAATGTAGTGATTGATTATCCAGAGTGCTATCGTGACAAGGTAAACCAACCAAATAGCTGGAAAATTGTATGTAATCATACAGCATCACATAGGTGCTGTGTTGAGCACAGCCATTAGAATTAAAGTGTGCCTTTCTAATCATCCCCTGCTGGTATTTCCTGTTCACCCTCAAAACCTTGACCTCCAGGGAACATGCAGTCGTCCTCTCTCCTCCAAATTCCATCAGCTCCATTCTTGTTACCCACAAGTATTTCAGTAGATACAGAATACACCTCTCTCTCCCGCAGAGATTGGAAAATGCAGGTGCCTTTTTCTCATATCCCTCACCTAGGTGACCTTCAGAGAGAAGCTGTTAATTTCCCCATAGTAACATTCTTTTATTATTACCATTATCCCTAAGCTCCTGACAAATTATAAGCAAGTGGAAGGAAAGAATGGGAGATGACTAAAGAAAAGAAGGTTGGTCCTTCCTGAAAAGCTGATGATCCAGTTGGGAAAACCAAACAAACCTGCAAAGGCTTGAGAGCAGTTCTGCAGTAATTCAGCTGGTGTCAAAGCCCCAATGCACAAATTGACTATATGAGTCATGTGGGCCAATAAAGGAGCAATCAAATTATCCTTGGTTATTAGTGGACCAAATTGAGTCATAAGAAAGGAAAGGGCTGCCCAAACTACCCCAGAACTGATCATCAAACCTGTAGTTGAGAACTGCGCCAGGTCTTTTCTCCTAGTGATCAGAGTCCCCGTGCTCATCTTCCCTGTGGTGTTTAGGGTTTGAGCAGGCTTTGTCAGGGTGGCCGAGCTCCTCTCTCCTTTATTAATTGCTGTCCACATTTGTAGGATGTCCTGTGTTCTGAATTGGTATGAGGATTTTAGATGCTTAATGTGGGGACATGTAGCCAGGCAAAATCAATTCCTGTCAGTCACACACAAATACAGAGGAATGGGATTATAGATCAGGGTGAAGCTGCAGTGCTTTAATCTTAAAATCAATAAAGAAAAGGAAGTTGAACTTGTGGGGATTCTATAGAGACTGTAATTTGGTTTCCTATGAGGTTTGCCTTACAGAATATAATGCTCCCTCTTTCTCACTTTCTAATTATTTTAGTAAGGGTAGAAAAGGGAGGGAAAGGGAAAGAGACAGAAACCTACCACCAAATCATCTCAAATAAACATGCGACTGTAACCCGTAATTCAAGACAACCCTCTACTGTGTGCACTCTTGTTCATTCTTTTTATTTTTAGGGAAAAAAAAAATTAGCTAAAACCCTGTCCCAATAGTGTATCTGTAAGCATACTAAAATGTCTTTGATTCTTTCCTAGGTCACTGTGAGAGTGGGAGAAATATACTTTTAATATTTACTTTTATGACTAAGTCTGTTTTAGCCTGTGTAATTTTAAATAAATAAATATTCAACAAACTATTGACCAAGGATTCTAGGCTGCTAAGCATGTGATTAATATTTACTTCACTGTAATTCTGCCCCTTTTGAAAGAGGCACGAACTAAGGGTTTAAAAAACTTAGTCTTTTATTAATCAAAGATTTAGAGTTTATTGAATGTGCCTCTTTTCAGAAATAAGACTGATTTGTTACATGGTACTGTCTTTCTCTAGCTATAAGATGGTCTTATTTATTTTCCCCTTTGGCTAGTTCATCAATTTGTTTTGAAGTCTTAGTCTGTGTGGGCCCTACATCAGCAGTGCTGGCAGTTGCACCATCATTTGGATCTGAACTGCCCCCCAAAGACATATTTGTCCAAGATTTGATCCCAGAGGAGAGCTATTGGAAGGTTGTTGAAGTTCTAAGAGGTGGGGCATTGTGCAAGGTCTTAAGGCCATTGGGGCATGTCCTTGAAGAAGACTGTGGAACTCCAGCCCTGTCCTCTTCTCTTGGGCTTCAGTCATGACTTGATTAGATTTGCTCTACCATGTGCTTCCTCATGGAAGCCATGATGTGCTGCCTCAGCAAAGGCCCAAAGCAACACAGCCAGCAGTTGTGGTTTGAAACCTGCAAACTGTGAGCCAAAATAGCCTTTTCTCTTAAGAAATTGATTCTCTCCCTGTTACAGTAACAGAAAGTTAACTGGCACAAATATGAAATACCATGAACTCACGAGAAAATAACGGGGCCGAGGACAGAACTCGGGGCCAGCTCAGGAGCAGAGATGTAGAGTGAACAGAGCAGAGCCTGGGGCCTTGTTTGCTTTGTTTTTTTTCTAACCCTCTTTTCTCCTCTTTTAACTAGTGGTTAGTTACAGAATCTAGCTGATAGTGAAGTGCTGAAAGGATTTAACTTAGCTAACGCAAATGAAGTGCTTAACATTGTGCACTGCACTCCTAAGAACCCACCTATAAATGTTCATATGGTAATCATGATTATTATATGACTGAAGTGAAGTAACACATGCTAATGCAAATATTCTTTAAGTTATAAGGTACAATACAAATGCTATCTTCTTTTTTTTACATTTTTTTATTTTTTAAATTATTATTTAATAACCACACAACCCGAAGAAGCATTTCATTACAACAGCATTGACATATTCAATAACAATTTCCAGAGCTAAGACACATCTCTTTCAAAATTGGCTGTAAATTTTTAGGTTTACAGTTGAATTATTACAGTTATACAATATTGTACTCAGTATAAACCCTATAAGACATAAAATTAAATGAGGTTTTAACCTTTAAAAAAGATCTCCATTTCATTATTAAAATACAGTTTCATAAAGAAAAATTCATTTTAATAACAATTGACACTA